CACACACACACACACACACACACACAAAAGGCTTCACCAGCAGGAAAGCACGGACCAGAGGCAGCGTATAGTCAGAAAAAACTTGGAGAGCCCTCCAAGTCAGCCCATAATCACAGCAGCATTGACACTCCTCTTCATCCCAAACAAAAAATTCACGCCACCACGTTCACAGAATCTCCACGCGACACCAGGAGCACTACTGCTTAAAACACCATGGAAGCACCACCATCTTCCATGTCCACTCACACACATGCGTATAAATACCCAGGCCTTGTGCAGGACCAAGTGATCACCAAGCTGAGGAGGAACAGCAATGCAAAGCAGCAGAAGACTGAAAGGCATCAATCTGACTTGCTAGACTTATGACTCAATAGACATACATCATCATGGAGAGGTGCAAGGAGGGCGCCACGTTTGGAGGCCATCAAGGCTGACTCTCAAATTTGCTTTATGATAGACAAACAGGGCAATGCATTTAAAATTTAAAAATAACAATTTGTGGTCTTCTTTCAAAACAAAGTATACCAATCTATACTCGAAAACTTTCTCAAATGACAGCATAGATGGGAGCATACACAGACAAAAGATTCCTCCTTGCATACACACACATAGGGAGAGGAGGAGTGAAGTGTGGTAAGAAGAAGAAGAGGAAGAAGAGAGCGCCACCCAATGTGACAGCTGGATAATAATAGCCTCTCCTAAGTCCCCAAATCGCCACCAGTCTGAACCTGGGGGCAAAGCATCCCCGAATAGTAGCCAAGTCTCTCATCCCTCTCTCTCTCAAGGAGTTAGCTGAGAAAAGGCAGATATGGAGGGTGAAGAAGAAGAAGAAGAAGACTCCCTCTCTCTCTCTGTCTCTGTGTCTGTGTGATGTCACCAGATACTGTCCAGCAAAAGATGATGTCTTGAGCCGATGCAGGACGCAGGGTGAAAAGGCCGGCCATAGGCCGGGAGCAGTCCCCAGCTATGAGGCCCAGGTGAGTACTTCAGTACTGTGCTGCTGCTGAAGAACCTCTCCCTCTCTCTCTCTCCGGTGTACCTCCTGGCTGTATCACTAAACTGATCGTAGTATGACCTCTCCACAGTGCTGCTCTCCAGCAGTCTGTCACCGGAGTGTAGCACTACACTACCTCCTGAAACTGAGGCGTGGCCCAGCTATTTACCGCTGGGCCCACTGGAAGTGTCCTATCCTGGGCAATCCTGTGAGGAACAAGCCCTCAAGGGGCCCTGTCAGACATCACAATGTTCAGGGCTAAGGGCCCCAGCAAGCCAAGTGCCCGCCCTAAGTGAAGGCGGGCCTGAATATTCGTCAAGGCAAAATTCAACATTTCCATATGTGGGTTCAGGCTCTCGCAGCACGCCAGTTGGTTGGGAAGACGCGTGAGCCTCACATTGCTGCGTCATACAGTTGGCCCAGGCCTTGACAGTTGCGCCTGGGCACACATACACAAAGCAGGGCCGATACATTGGGAAGCAGGCCTTCGGCCTTTGCAAAAGCAGTAGTGCCAATGCACCTGCCTGGGAGCCCTGCACAGATACAGCAAACAGCAAAAGTCCGGAGACTTAGGCCCTGCCTAACTGCAAAGGGGGCCCAGGCCCTCAACTGTAGTCTCGGGCTGGGCGCAGGATCTGGGACCCAACCGGAAGCTACTGGAAGCTTCCAGCCAGGCCAGACACAGCATCCAGGAGGCTGCCACTTCCACAAAAGGAAGGAAGCAGCCCAGGCCAGCGATTCTGGCCAGCGCTGGCAATGCGGAAGTGCTGCTGCGCTCTGATGCTGCGCTGCTGCCAAGGGCGCTGACGGGGCACGAGAGGTGAAGTGGGGCGCTGCAGGGCAGCGGAGCGCAGGCAGCCATAGCCGGGCTGCTGGGCGCCAGGGGGTACAGCGGATGATCAGGTGGTCTTCAGGGAAGGACGCGCTGTGTGGGGTAATCAAGGTCTGATTGAGGGTGACGAGATATGTACCTGGTACATGAAGAGAGGTCGGCGATGGTGTTGGCAGTCATGTACATTGGTCTTCGAGAGTCGAAGTGATCCTGTTGCGTGAACCGGCTGTAGGTAGGCTAGTCAGGTAGAGTAGGCTGGGCGCCGAGCGCCAGACAGGAGAGAGCGACTTTGGATACTGTGTTGGTGTGTCCTACGGGCTTGGACATTGGCTCATTACTTCATTGTATTGCTCTATATGGATGGTTTTCTCGGTGTATTTGTAATCTCTGCTTGGGACACAACTACTTGTTCAGCTGTGTGATTTCGCAACTTGGTTTTATGTATATCGCTCATACTCATATTCCTTGCAATTTGGTATCGGAGCTGGTTGGTGATCGCCGCTTACCTGGCACCGGCGACATTGTGACTTGGTGCGCTGACGATGCTTCATGTGGCGTAAGGATACTTTGGCGCTGGTTGATTAGCGGGGCCTAGGTGGAGAGGCCGGCCGCTGGAAGGTTGTGGTGACAGCGTGGGAGCTGTGGCGACAGCGGGTGTATGCATGATGATGAGAGTATGCTGACGTGGCATTTTGGCTGAGGTGGCACTGCATTGCAGTGTGGGTGGTACCGAGGCTAATGACCGGTCATCGAAATGCATTGTGGTTTGGGGCAGCTATCTCCAGGTATGTTGTTCCCATTCCTTATCTACCCTCTCAATCTGTTTTTACCGTGAGGAAGTGAGTCCAACTTGAGTGTCCTCTCTTTGGTAAGGAGTCGTGTGCGCTCTATCTTGAGAGACGACATTCTTCCCGGTAGCACATCTGGCAGGAGAGGGCGGTGCCTCTGAAGGGCCCTGGTCGAAGCACGGGTCACGGTCACCATGCCAACCCATGGGTATTAGTACACGCAGGCCATGCTGCTTTGTCCATTGAGGCTCTTTGCTGCGCTGATAGAAGGGGTGTGCGGACTGACCAGTCCGCCGTCTATAAACATTTCTGGTTGGGGTCTGAACTGTCCACTGGCTGTGATCGTCGTGCTGATTGCGACGTTAAAAAATTCCTAAGGACTCTCGGGGGCTGTCCTTAAATTGCCTCTTAATCAGCCAGATCAGTCAGACATAAGGCTCGTTGCACGCGAGGGTAAATAAAGGGCAGGCTTGTCATAAGCATACTTCTTGGGCACAGGGGTGGGCCGTGGATGCACACCTTAGACACCGCAGCTCGATGATGCTCATAGGTACGTTGGATACAGGGAAAGGGGATTCCAATTGTGAACTCAACTGAACATCACTACCATTTCCATTGTGCATACATCTGCTCACATTAGTCTAAGTTTTATTTTTGATTTGTTGGTTGACCGACTGCTGACACCTAACAGACAGACTAGAGTAGGACTGTAATCTACCATGGTCAGTTCTTCTCGAATCTTCTGTGCAGAACTAATCATGATAGACCTAGACAATGTGTACAATTTGTGTAGGTTCTGTTGATGCCGCTTGAATAGTAGCCTAGGTAACTCGCCGGACATTTATTTAATTATTTATTTTTAGATCCGGTCCGACGCATGTTGTGGTAGGTTCCAAAGAGGTCATTAGTGCAGGCAGCGTCTGCCTAGCTCATGAGTGGATCACAGGATGCTGAAGGTACAACTGATGATAGGAGGCAGACACGACGGGATACCGCTAGGATACCTGTTGTGTTCCAGGTTCTACTACCGGGAGACGAGAGAAGGCTTAGGGCTGAGACAAGGGGCCGCAATCTAGAGACTGTGAGAGCAGCAGCAGCAGCGGCTGAACGTGCGTTAGCAGCAGCAGCAGCTAGCGCTGTAGCTATGGCTACCTCGGCAACAACTTCTGCTGCAAACTCAACTGGTCAAGGGCTGGGCATGCCGACCAGTTCACAGTCCATCTCCAGTACGTCAGGAGCTGGCACTAGTCAGATGGCGAGCTCGCAGTTCAGCTCGCTGCCTCCACGCACCCGGGAGCAGATGGAGCTCCAACAAGTCAAGAGGATCCGCTTGAGGCTAGAGGAGGAACTCAGGCAGGCTACTAAAAGAGAGAAAGAGATAGGAGTGTCAGACTAGAGGGTAGGGAGGCAGACTAGGCTGCGCTAGAGGGGTTAGATGACTCGACCCTTAGCAACAATGAAAAGATTCTGAAGGTGAGCATCTTGTTTATGCACTCATACATGGACAGTAAACTGGATACAATCCAGGACACCTTAGACCAAATCCTGAATGCCATGCACAAACCAGGAATCAGGCCAGCAGTCTTGCCGTCGCTGCTATTCTCAGCAACGACAGACCCCTATGCCGCTCAGTCTGGACCACAACCAAGTGTTACATCAGCAACAACCTTATCTCAGACTGTTGCTTCTTCATCTTCCGGTCCAGCGACTAGTGCTACACCACAGTCGCCACCTGTCTCGCCAGCGGGACAACAATTTCCTTGGTATCCCAAGACCCCTCTGAAACCACCTCTAACCTTCTCAGGAGACAAGAAGGATGAGGCTCTCGACACGTGGTTGAGAACGGTTTCAGTCTGGGTGAGGGCAAAAAGGACATTGGTAGAAGAGGAAGTGATTACTGATGCATCCTACTTAGAGGGTTCAACAGCTCGCTCGCTGGCTAAATGGATTGGTAGCTTCAAAGGGGTTCGGCGGGAACATGGGTGATTGGGCGCATACCCACACCCTAGAAAGCTTTATGGACTTAGTGGAAGCACGGTGGCACAATCCTCAGCAGGCACAGATTGCCACTGATGGATTATTAAAGCTTGATGCTAGAAAGTACAAGTCAGTGCGAGAGCTTACCACAATTGTAGAGCGCCTGATCGTTGTCCCAGGAGTGGAGTACAATCCACAGGTCTTGTTGACCACGTT